AAGAGGAGGAGTTTGAGGAGGACCGGGAGGAGGAGGAGGAGGAGGAGGAGGAGGAGGAGGAGGAGGAGGACTGCCACCAGGGCGTTCCTTTTCCTACACTTCATTTCTTCTTCGGTCTGTTCACTCTGCCCGCCCGAACTCCCCTTATCTCTGCATGTACACCACCGCTCTTCTCCCTGCGAGGCAAAACCTCTGTGGCAACCGAGAGGTTCACTCGTGCTCTGCACTCCTCTTCCTCCTGCTCCTCCCTCCCTCCTGCTCCCCCTCCTGCTGCTCCTCATGCTCCTGCTGCATCCCTTGCTGCTGCTCCTCCTCCTCCTTTCACACCCACATACACACGTCTACTGCTACTGTTACTACTACTACTACTACTACTACTACTACTACTACTACTACTACTACTACTACTACTACTACTACTACTACTACTACTACTACTACTACTACTACTACTACTACTACTACTACTACTACTACTACTACTACTACTACTACTACTACTTCTACTACCACTACTACTACTACTACTACTACTACTACTACTACTACTACTACTACTACTACTACTACTACTACTACTACTACTACTACTACTACTACTACTACTACTACTACTACTACTACTACTACTACTACTACTACTACTACTACTACTCCTACTCCTACTCCTACTCCTACTCCTACTCCTACTCCTACTCCTACTCCTCCTCCTACTACTACTACTACTACTACTACTACTACTACTACTACTACTACTACTACTACTACTACTACTACTACTACTACTACTACTACTACTACTACTACTACTACTACGCTTAGGCCCTCTTCCGCTGACGCCCTGTTCCGTCGAGGCCCTCTTCAGCCGATTCCCTCTTCCGCCTGGTCCTGTTCCGCCTGGCCCTCTTCCGCCGCGACCCTGTTCCGCCTGGCCCTCTTCCGCCGCGGCCCTGTTCCGCCGAAGCCCTTTTCCGCCGGCCCTATTCCGCCCGGTCTGGTTCCGCCGCGCCAAAGCCTCAGGCGCTGGCGTGCGCACCCTTCGCGCGGTGGATCTGGGTCCCAGCGGAACCGGGCGCGACGGATTTGGGCTTTGGCGGAACCAGGCCTCGGCGGAACCCGGCGTCGGCGGGACCAGGCGCGGCGGACCCAGGCTTCGGCGGAAATTGGCGCGGCGGAACTGGGCCTCGGCGGAACGGGGTCTGCATCCTTAGAGTTTCCTCAGATGTTCCTTAGATGTGCCTTAGAGGTTCTTGAGAAGTTCCTGAGGGGTTCCTTAGATGTTGATTTGAGGTCCCTTAGAGGCTCCTTAGAGGCTAGTTTGGCTCCTCAGTGGCTACTTTGAGGCTCAGGCTCATTAGAGGTGGTTCCTTAGAGGCTCCTTGGAAGCTCTTTGGAGGCTCCATAGGATGTGTGTAGGATTGCTTCTGAGGATTCTTGCATGATGTCCGAAGGATTTCTGAGAAGACCAGGGGACTCGTGAAGAAGTCAAGGATTCGTCCAGGTGTTCTGGATCTCTTAAGTATTCCTGGAGGATTCCTAGTGGATCCCTGAGGGATTATAATAGGATTCCTGCGCAATTCCTGAAGGATGTCTGCGGGTTCCTCTGGATTCCGAAAGATTTCTGAGGATCCCTCCGGTGCCCTTTGGATTCCTGAGGATCCTCGAGGATTCTTCAGAAAAGCTTGGGGCCCCCCAGAGGACTCATGAAGAATTCCTCTCCCGCGGGCGTGGGGCTTCCCGGGCTCCGAGGGCAACGTTTCCAAAAGACGTGTCTCGCGCCTTCGGGGCGTCGGTGAGCCCCCGAGCCATGGGGGTGGAAGCGGGGGGGGGGAGGCCACTTGGCCCAGCACCGCCGCCGCCGAATCTGTCGGTCACCGCCTCCTTTCTTGTGGGCGCGGGATCTCCCAAACACCCGAGGGCGACTCCTCGGATGGAAGCGTTTCCCCCCATCGGGGGTTCGGGGGGACTGAACCCACGGGGGGGGAGCAGGAGAAGGAGGAGGAGGAGGAGGAGGAGGAGGAGGGGGAGGAGGAGGAGGAGGAGCAGCAGCAGCGGGAGGAGGAGGAGCTGCGCCCAGCACGGGCCCGCCCACGATCGGTGAGGAGGTCGGCTGGGCGCCCTCTGGCCAGTCCCAGCGGCGGCTGGGCGGGGGGGCGGAGGGGGAGGGCCTGACGTTTGGGCCACGGGGCGGGGGGACCGAACCCAGCGTGGCCGACCGAGTCGCCCTGCCCCCCGCCGCCGCCGCCGAGCTGCTCGGCCCCCGCTCGCCGCCTTCCCCGCGGGCGCGGGGCCCTCCGGGCTCCCGAGCGCGACGCGTCCAGTGGAAGCGTTTCGCGCGCCCCGGGGGGGGCTCGGGAGACCCCCGAACCCGCGGGGAGGGAGAGCGCGGCTGAACGAGTCGCCTTGCCCCACGCCGCCGCCGAGCCGTTCGGCCCCCGCCTCCTCTCCTGAAGGCGCGGGATCCCCGAACCTTCGCGGGCGACGCCTCCCATATGGGAGCGTTTCGTGCTTTCGGGGGTTCGGGGGGCCCCCGAACCCACGGAGGGGGGAGAGCGTGGCCGAACGATTCAGTTTGCCCTCCGCCGCCGCCGCCGCTGGACCGCTCGGCCCCCGATTCCTCTCCCGCAGGCGCGGGGTTCCCCGGTTTCCGAGGGCGACGTTTCCAAGAGAAGCGTCTCGCGCCTTCGGGTTCTTCGGTGAGCCCCCGGACCCATGGGGGCGGGAGAGGTGGCGCGAAGCACCACTTGGCCTAGCACCGCCGCCGCCGAGTCGTTCGGTCACCGCCTCCTTTCTTGCGGGCGCGGGATTCCCCAAACAAAGGAAGGCGACTCCTCCAACGGACGCGTTTCGCCTTCTCGGGGGTTCGACGAGATTGAGCCCATGGGGAAGGGGAGGGTGGCCGAGATCGAGTCGCCCCGACCCCCGCCGCCGCCGCCGAGCCGTTCGGCCCCCGACGTCTTCCCCGCGGGCGCGGACCCCCGAAGCCCCCGAGGGCGACGCTTCCAGTGGAAACGTGTCGTGCACTCGGCCTGGCATCGCTCGGACGTGTGCATTTTTCCTTCGGCGAGAACCCTCGAGGAGCATCCTTGATCACTTGGCGAAAAAGCCACGCACGAAACCGAAAAAAACACAGGGAATGGACGTCCGAGCGATGGCGAGTCGGGGGCTCGGGGGGCCCCGGAGCCCAGAGGGGCGGGACTGCGTGGCCAAACTGTTCACTTTGCCCTCCGCCGCCGCCGCCGAGTCGTTCGCCCCCCGCCTCCCTGGTCCAGCGGGCGCGGGAGTCCCCCTGGCTCCGAGGGGATGGCGCTCCTCATGGCATTTCGGGAGAGCCCGAACCCATCGGGGGGGGGGGGGGGGGGGCGCGGCCGAACAGTCGCCCTGTCCCTTTGCCGCCGCCGCCGAGTCGTTTTTCAGCCCTGTTCGGCCCTGCTCGGCCAGGTTGTCGGGAGGTGTCGTCGGCCATGTTAAGCTATCTTGCTCGATCCCGAAGCTTGTTTGAGCCACGCTAGACCTCCTGGAATCATACTGGTGTAGGAAGCAGAGAGGGAGAGGGGGAGGAGGCAGAGGAGGAAGAGGAGGAGAGAGTAATAGAAAAGGAGGAGGAGGAGGAGGAGGAGAGAAAGGAAGAGGTGGACAACGAGGGAAAGGCAGAGGAGGACCTCAAGTGGGAGGAGGAGGAGGACGAGGCACAAGAGAGAAGCAGGAGGGGATGAGAGAGGAGGAAAATGATGAAGGCGGTACGAGGAAAGCGAGGATGAGGAGGAGGAGGAAGAAGAGGAAACGAAGAAGAGGAAGAGGAAAAGTGATGAGGCAAGAAAGAGGTAGGGAAATAACAGCGGAGGAAGAGGCGTATGAGAAGTAGTGTTTTCGACACGCGTTGTTGTGGGACGTGTGTGTGTGTGTATGTGTTGGGAATATATGTTGTGTTGGATGTATGTTGTTGGATTGAGGTGACATGTGTTGTCGTGGGTTGTTTTGGCAAAACAAAACAGTTCCTACATCCCAACAAGAACGTTGGTACCACTTCCAACTGGGGCGCCCATGTTGGCTCCCAGAATGAATTCGCACCCTTACAACGTTCACATGGCTGGTTGTAATTGATATTGGTTCGTTTTTTTTGGCCGGTTGAGAATTGTCCCAGTCGGTCGTAATTGGTCCCAGCCGGTTGGGATTTGTCCGACATGCTGGCGCGGGGGGGCGAGGAATTTTTGGGGAGGGCGTTTGGAGGGCCAAGTCCATTGGCTTCTAGGAGACGAATCTCTGGGGCCTTTGCCAAATACCGCTCTCACGTTCTAGCCAAAATCATGTATGGGAACATTGGGTGCCGTGACGTCTACAAACGCATGGGGGGGATACGTCTATGGACAGCTCGGCCCTTACGTTCGGCGCAGTACAGGGTCGGAGAAAGGGTACATCCGTTTGCGGTATGTTCTTGTTCCAGAGCAGGTATCACATGGTGTTCCAAGTCAGAGCGCACCCCAGAAGAGGTCCAGGGAGTACAGTGAGGGCGCCCATCAAGAAACCATCTGAGTTTCGTCAGGGTAGCCTGGGTTTCTTCTCTCCTCGCGCTGCGCGGTGACTTCCCGCAGCCGTTGTTCAGGGTGCTCCAGCTTTCCCCTCAGGTGCACCTCGCGCACGGGTTCTCAGGGTTGGGTTTCTTGCGAGGGTTTCTTGCGGCAGCGCCCACACTGTAGCCGTGTGGGTATCTTTTGGTGTCCCCAGGTGCATCGGCGATGCGGGGCGACCTTCCGACCCCACCCGATCGCGACTCTCGGTGGACGCACCCCCGTGTTTTGGTTCTGGTGCCCATGTCCAGGCCTCCAGACCCCACCCAAATAGGTTTTTGGTCGCAGCTCTGGTAGCAGACCGATCTCAGGCGTCTAGATACTTTAGACGAGCGATTCTGATTTTTTAATGTTGATTTAGTGTGCCTGTCAGCTCTGTAGATCTACAGTTCGAGTTACTCTTCGCCGCGTGAGTCTTCGTGAAGCTCTACGAGTCACTCTGGCCTCGCCTGGGTGGCCTCTGCGGGACGAGGACGAGGGGGGCGACTCGGAGAGGAGGAGTGAGGATAGAGGGCAGGGAGGGAGAGGCCCGCAGCTGCTCTGGCGAGAGAGCCTTCCGCCTCTGCGCCATCGCGCACATCGCACACATTAGAGACATTCATGACTTTCCTCCCTCCGACATCGCATATGGCGAGGCGAGGCCCAGCCACCATCGCGGCAACGATATCTTTGTGTGATTTGGTTTTCGATGGACCCGCTGCTCGGGAGCGCACAGCTGCAGAGCAGGCTTTGGCCGCGAAGACCATCCGCCTAGCCGACCTTCTAAACTGTAACGCGTCACCAAACGCGCGCGGCACGAGGGATGCCAGGCTGGCGGGCCCCTTCGCCCCTGTCGTGAGCGCGATGAGGGTTCCCGTCATGATGCCGCCGCCTCCTGGGCTTCGGACGCCGCTGAGGTCCGCCGCCGCCGTGTTTGTGCCGGGCGGCAAGAGAAGGCAGGCGCCGCTGTCAGAGAAGGACACGGACACGGAGGACCCGTCGGTGGAGGGTGCCGACATTGAGTCGGACAAGGATGGGAGACCTCGCAACGCCCAATAGCTCAGTCCCTCGCCCCTCCCTGCTTCGCCTCGCCCACCCGTCTAGAAGGAAGCTGGGATCGGGCGGGGCCAGGACTGGGATAAATCGCCCCTGAGCGTTCCAGAGCGCTCTCAGACCGTTCTGGGGCACTCTGGAACAGCCGCGGCGCCCGACACATCCGGATCTCAGAGGTCGCTGATTTGTCCCAGTCCGATTTCCTCCCGGTCTTGGCATCGCCTCAGGGGAGGACGGGATTGGATTGGCGGGTGTGGCGCGTGCATCCGGAGGACACGGAGACTTCGTCATCAATGGACGCGGAGGCCGCGGCTTCTGAGCGGCGCGGCCCTATTTTCGTCGAGCTTGGCCTATGATCACGGAATCATAGTCTTGTTTGGGGTTGTGGGGCTAATCATAATTTGTTTGGGGTTGTGTGGCTATATGGCAATGGGGCTATAGGGCTCGAGGGCTATAGGGCTATTGGACTGTTGGGCTATAGGGCTGTTGGGCTGTAAGACTATAGGGCTATAAGACTATAGGGCTATAGGGTTGTAGGGCTATAATAGGGCTATACTAGTGCTATAGGGCTAAGGGGCACCTGGGCAACCGGGCACTCGGGCGGGCCGCCGAAATCGGCGACGCAGCTCCCAGGCACCCGGGCGGGCCGCCAAAAGCGGTGGCGCAGCTAACCTCACCACATGAATCAGCTAGGACCCCATAAAGAGGCACGCTCTGATTGGGGAACAGTGGAAACCCATGCCGATAAACAGCCTGGTTGCCTCCAGGGTGCCCTGGGTTTCTTGGGTGTCGATGGCTTGGCTGTGGAGTCGAGCTCCTCCTTGGAACGACGGGGGCCTGCCTGGCTGGCAAGGACTGGACCAGTCGACCGCCAGGCTCGCTCCCTCGCGAGGCTTCTTTTTAATTCGCAGTGCGGCAGTGCAGAACCCGCTCCACAGACGCTTGTTTGCACAATGTTATCACGACGAGAGCCCCCCTAGGACAAAGTCAGGACGAGGTTAAGATTGGGTGGGGATACATCGAGAATCTCTGTGACCTGGCGGTTCTCGAGGATGTCTCGAGCGCCGCGGCCTTCTCAGAGCGTTCTGGAGCGCTCTGAGCGCGTTCGGGGACGCTCTGGAACGGATTCATCTTCGTCTTAGCACCGTCCTACCCCCAGATTTCCAGCGACCTGGTTCTCGCAACCCCAGCGCGTTTCGGGGCCCCAGTGTAGAGCCCGATTTGGCACCTCAAGGAGACCTCGGTACCCTCTCCTCGAACCGCCAAGAGGACCTCGAGGGGCCTTCCCGATAAGAGAGGCGTATCCGTAGACTGTTTACGCTCAGGGTGGCTAGTGGGATTGCATGATTTTGTAGGGTCATGTACAAGGTACATCAGAATATGGCGGCGCCGGCTGCAGGGCATTCTATGATTTCTCTCGCTTCGCGGGGTGTACGTCCGGAGCACGTACAGTCACGTCGTCGCGGAGCCTCTTGGGAGCCTCTTGGGGGCCTCCTGGATGCCTCCTGGGAGCTTCCTTGGGCCTCTTGGGGACTTCTTTGGGGCCTCTACCCCCTCCCTCCTTTTTATACTCCCTCCTCATATTTCCTTCCAGCGCCGGCTCTAATCATGGGCGGCGCTGCGCCGCAATTCGCCCAGGTTGAAAAAATGGCATTACACTCCAGTCGTTCTGTGGCCTTTGGGGGGCTTCGTTGGAGCCTTTGGGAGGCTTCTTGAAGACCTCTTGGATGCCTCTTGGGGGCTTTTTGGAGCCCTTTGGGTGCCTCTTGGGGGCCTCTTGGGGCCTCTTGGGGGCGTCTGTGGCCGTATTGGGGCGTTTTTGCACCGTTTCGCCCCTTCGGAGGCCGTCTTGGGGGCCTCTCGCGGCCGCCTTGGGACCGTCTTGGGGTTCTCTTGGGCCGTCATAGGGGCCTTTTGGACCGTCCTGGGGGCCTCTTGGGGCCGTCTTGGGGTTCTGTTGGTCCGTATTGGGGCCCTCTTGGGGGCTTCTTGGGTTGTTCTGGAGCGATTTAGGAAGCTGCTTGGGCCGCCAAGGCGAGAACGCTAAAAGATTACCAAACCATAGGGAAATCAATGATTTTGGCCTCTGAAGGCGCAGTTGTGGGCGCTCTTGGAGCCCTCTTGGGCTGTCATTGGAACTTTTGGGGCCCTCTTGGGGCCATCTTGGACCGTCTCGGGGCCGTCTTGGCCCGCACAGAGCCATCTTGAGCCGTCTTGGCGCCCTCTTGGCCCTCCATGAGGCCCAAAAGGTCGAAATCATAGATTTTCTATAGGTTGTGGTAGGTTTTTGAGCCCAAGGAGGGGGGGGGCCACTTTGGTCCGGCGGTGTGGCGCAGCTCCCAGGGGGGGTTAGGGGGGGAGACATATACATATAACGGCGCACCGGGTCCGGGGGCCCGGGGCCGGGACCCCGACCACAAATGTGGGCCCCGGGGGGCCCGGAGGCTCGTCGGACCGCCGGACGCCGTCCAAGATCGTTCGCAGGCGGCTTCGGAACGCGCTCCGATGGCTCCAGATGCCTTCCAAGACGCCTGTCATGACACCAAGAAGGTCCCAGAAGCCTCCAAGACGCTCCGAGAGGCAGCCCAAGAGAGGCCCAAGAAGCAAGAATCGTGCCATTCCTATGGGAAAACGTATATTTTTCGCATGTTCGCCTCTTGGGCTTTCACCGCGTCCAAGACGGCCCAAGAGGCGCCCAAGACGGTCTACGAGGCCTCCGGGAGCGCTCCAAGGCTGCGCACGAGTGGCCCAGGACGGCCCCAAGACGGCCGAAGAGAGCCCCAAGACGAGTTCGAGAGGGGTCCCAGACGGAGAAAGCCAACCTCGAATTCCGAGCTTCCGGCCCAAGAGGCTCCAGGAGGCGCCAAAATGCCGCCAAGAGGCGCCAAAAGGCTCCCCAAAGCACCCCAAGACGTTCCGAGAGGCACCCCAAGAGAGGTCCAAGAAACAAAATCGTGCCATTCCTATGGGAAAACGTATATTTTTCGCATGTTCGCATCTTGGGCTTTCACCGCGTCCAAGACGGCCCAAGAGGCCTCCAAGACGGCCTAGGAGGCCTCCGGGAGCGCTCCAAGGCTGCGCACGAGTGGCTCAGGACGGCCCCAAGACGGCCCAAGAGAACCCCAAGACGACTTCGAGAGGGGTCCCAGAAGGAGAAAGCCACTCTCGAATTCCGAGCTTCCGGCCCAACATATCCCAGGAGGCGCCAAAACGCCGCCCAGAGGCGCCAAAAGGCTTCCCAAAATCAGCCCAAGACGTTCCGAGAGGCACCCCAAGAGAGGTCCAAGAAACAAAAATCGTGCCATTCCTATGGGAAAACGTATATTTTTCGCATGTTCGCATCTTGGGCTTTCACCGCGTCCAAGACGGCCCAAGAGGCCTCCAAGACCGCCCCAAGACGGCCCAAGAAGCTTCCAAGAGGGCCCCAGGACAGCCCAAGAGGGCCCCAAGACGGCCCAAGAGGCGCCCAAGATGGCCCAAGAGGGCCCCAAGACGGGCCCAAGAGGGGGCCCAGAGGGGGACCACGAACCGCAAGCTCGAGCCTTCCGCCCCAAGAGGCCGCCAGGAGGCCCCAAGGAGGCCCCTCAAGAGGCCCCAGGAGACCCCCAAGAGGCCCAAAGGAGGCCCCGAGAAGCCCCAAATCGGCCCCCCAAATGCTTCGAACCTGCTTCCAGGAGGCCCCCGACAGGTTCAGAGGCTCCCGAGAAGCTACGTCAAACTCCCAGCGAGCGGCCGGACGAGGCCCCCCACAAAATCACAAGAGGGTTCCAGTATTTGTATCCTTCAGCGCTCTCTGGCCTTCTTCCCCCTGCCCCCTTCCCTGCGACTTTCGTTGACTCAAGCTCGCCTCCTAGCTAGAACCACGCGCGCGGCGTTCGCCGAAAAACGCTGCCGCTCAGCACGTCACCTCCGGACGTGGATTCATTGGCTTACGCCGCACCGCCGACCCCTTGGGGCGGCAGCAACAGTGAAAGACGGAATTCGCAGAACGCGCGCGATCGTTGGGCAATCTTGGGGTTTCGGCTTGTCTTCCGTAGCGTGTGGGGTTCAAGGGGGGAGCTTGTAGGCGATTGTTTTGAAGTTATTCGTGGTTTTGTGTGGCTTTCTTGGGGCCTCCGCGGGGCCTGTCCCAGGCCTCCTTTTCCACCCTCTGGTTAGACTCGGGGATCGTTGAGACCCAGCTGGGGGTGCGTCCGGCCAAAAGCTCAAGAGTGGACCCAGCTGTGTCGACGAGGAGCTTCCTGAAGGCCCAGAGGGGGCGGAGAGCGCCCAAAAACTAGGAGTCTCATGCCTCGAGCCTCGATCCACCCCGTGTTCCTTCCTTTGCGAAGGGGTGGCACTGGCCAGGGAGGTCGATCCTCGTCCCAGACCCTCGGCGGTGGTCCCGGGCACCGAAAACGGTTCCTGGAGGCCGAATTCGAGGAGATGCCTCGGGTGGTCGCAAGATCGCGAAAATATGCGAGACATCGGCGGCGACGACGAAATCTTCTTCTTCTTCTTCTTCTTCTTCTTCTTCTTCTTTTTTCCTCTTCTTCCTCCCTTTCTCCTCGTCCTTTTTTTCTTCTAGATCGAGGTAGATGCCCGCGGCACTTCCAGAGATTTGTGATATGTTTCGGTCTCTGGGTGCCGCTGCTTGGCCCCAGGGTTTTCCAAACCGGACGGACCTGGAGCGAGAAACTGCATCAGCGGACCCGGGGAGAGGTTCGGGGAACGAGCCTTTGCGGAGTAGCCCGTCGGACTCGGGAGGTTTATTGTGGTTGGGGGGTTCAGGCCCTTCCCCTGTCGCCGCGGCCGGATGCATTTGGGAAAACGATTGCGACTGGATTCCCAGACGGGTCCAGGGGGCCCATGGCGAACGATTTCTGCGTGGGGGAAAGAAAATAATTTTGCCGCTGAGTCTTAGTATGTTCAGTTTTTTCGTTGTTTTCGTCGTCGAAGGGCCGCCTCTGGGCCCCGGGGTCGATCGGGGGCATTGTGGATCCCCGTCAGGGCCTTTTGGGTGCATGTTCGCGCCCTTTCATGTTTTCTCGGGGCGAAGTGCTCGAATTCCCAATTCAGGTTACTCTTCTTACCCTCCTCTTGGGGCCGTCCCAGGGCTCCCCCTGGTGGCTTCGGGGGCCCTGTTGGGGCCCGTCTGTGCCGTCCGGGAGCCTTTTGGGCAGCATGCGGGGGTTTTTGGGTTGATTTTGGTGGCTTTTTGGGCTGCTGTGAGACTCGTGAAAACTCAAGAAACGAATGTTTGAGAGAGCGTGATCCACCGCCGCTTTACTGTGGAAAATTGCCAACTTTTTCCTCCGGAACCCGGGTGTCGCCCCCCCCACCCCTCCGAAAATCCCCCCCCCTGCTGGAACCCTCCCCTCCCCCCCAGTCCCCCCCCCCCCCCCCCCCCTCCTCCCTCGGCAAAACCCCCCCCTCCCTAACCCCCTCCCCCCCCCCCCTCCCGCTCGAAAACCGGGGGGGGTCACTACCGGTCAACCCCTCCCCCCCCCCCTACCCTCCGGATCCGGAAAACTGGAGGGGGCCACTACCGGTTCGCACCCCCCCTTCCCCTTTCCCCCCCCCCCCTACTCACCGCCAGCAAACGACTCCCGGTCCCCACCACCGTCCGCATCACATCCCCCACTGGTGTTCCCAGCGCCACTGTCCTCACCACCGCTGTCCCCACTGGTTCCACCACCGCCCATACTGTCCCTACAGTGGCCCCCCCACCACTGTCGCACTGTCCCCGCTGTCCCCAGAACTGTTCCCACCACGGTTCCACTCTCCCCACTGTCTCCACGGCCCCAACCACTGCCCGACTATCCCCACTGTCCCCACTGTCCCACTGACTCCTCCGCTGTCCCACTGAGCTGTCCCACTGTTCCCACCACTGTCCCCACTGTCCCCACCACTGTCCCCACTGTACCTCTGTCCCATTGTCCCACCGCCGTCCTCGCCACCGCCTTCACCACTGTCCCCACCACCATTGTACCCTCCACTGTCCCACTGTTTC